TTTGCGGTGTCTGCAACGCCGCTCATGTGCTGCTGCAGCTCGCATCTTAGGCCCAAATCAAGAAGCGAACTGCTGCTGCTGCTGCTGCTGCTGCTGCTGCCAGGCCTACAATCGCACCCTACAAATGCTGCTGCTGCAGGGGGCAGCAGCGGGAGGGGCTCCGAGGCGGAAGGCGCTGCTGGAGCAGCAGCAGCAGGGGGAGCAGGAGGAGGAGGTGGGGGAACTGCTGCTGCTGCAGCAGCTGCTGCTGCTGCTGCAGCAGCTGCAGCAGGTATGCTGCTGCAGTCCCCTGGTAGCGTCTTCTGTGGGGTCATGCTGCTAACCCCCACAAAGGAGGAGTAATAAGCGAGCGGATAAGACAGGAGTACTGCTGCCTGCTGCTACGAGTGCAGCAGCAAGAGCAGCAGCAGCAGCAGCAGCAGGAGCAGCAGCAGCAGCAGCAGCAGATGGAGTGTCTGCGCCCGCCTCTGGCCCCAGAGGGGCCGGACTTAAAGAGGCTTTAAAAATTAAATGAAGGTTATAATTATCGGTAGTAGCCTCCAGGCGCTGCTGCTGCTGCTGCTGTTGCTGCTGCACCCGCTGCTGCTGCTGCTGCTGCTGCTGCTGCTGCTGCGTTCCCCCCTCACTGTGCTGCGTGCCGCAGCTGGGGAGGAGCAAGAAGGAAGAGGGTTGTTGGTTTAAGAAAGAGCTGTTGCGGGCTTAGGTCTGCTGCAGGAGATGAGTTTGCTGCAGCAGCAGCAGCAGCAGCTTTCGGTGATGCTGCTGCTGGCCTTGCTGCTGCTGCTGCTGCTGGCCTTGCTGCTGCTGCTGCTGCTGCAGCCGTTGCTCCCCATGAAGAGAGAAACGGAAGCCGTCCTTAGAAGCAAACAAAGCCCGAAAAGAACAGAAGGAAGCCCAACACAAGGAGTTGCTGGTGGGGGTGCTGCTGCTGCTGCTGCTGCTGCTGCCCTTGCCCCTGGTGCAGGAGCAGCAGCAGTAGCAGCAGCAGCAGCAGCAGCTTCGTCTGGTGATGGGCCTTCCACAGAAACAAAGAGAGGTTGTTGTTGCTGCTGCTGCGCTCCAAGTTTAGCTGCTACGGGCAGCAGCAAAGCCCCTTGTGCAATAAGAACAAACTGTGCTGCTGCTGCTGCTGTCGGAAGGAGAGCCGCTGCTGCAGCAGGAGCAGCAGCAGCAGCAGCAGGAGCGGGCCGGGATCCGATCCCTTCCTACTTACTCTAGCAGCAACAAAACCCTCTTTAGTTTTTACGTCCTCATTTACAAAAGAAAATAGTAAACCGTGATGCAGCAGGGGAGGCCCCCAAACCCTCCCCTGCAGCAGCAGCAGCAGCAGCAGCAGCAGCAGCAGCAGCAGCAGCAGCAGCAGCAGCAGCAAGACCTTGCTGCTGCTGCTGTGCTGTTGTGCTCTCTTTTGCTGTATTGCTGCTGTTGCTGCTATATTATATTGCTAGTAATAATGTCATACCTTATTGTTTGTTTATTTATTTAAGATGCTCCTGATTAGGGTTTAGGGTTTAGGGTTTAGGGTTTAGGGTTTAGGGTTTAGGGTTTAGGGTTTAGGGTTTGTTGCTGTGCGGGGGTGTCGATGCCCGAAGTTCGGCGCAGCCCCTTTCTTTCTTTTTTTTTTCTTTTTTTTTTCTTTTTTTTTATTATTTAATTTATTATAATATATTTATAAGACATTATATGCTGCTCTTATTGCTGCTGCTGCTGCTGCTGCTGCTATTGCTGCTGATTTTCCTGCTCTTGCTGCTGTAGGGCTGCTCGTACTTACGTATAAACGTACACGTTAGCAGCAGCAGCAACAACGGGCAGCAGCAGCAGTGCCTGCTGCTGCTGCTGCTGCAGCACCTTATTATTAAGGTGTGCTGCTGCTGCTGCTGCAGCAAAGCTCCTGCTGCTGCTCCTTTTTCTCTCCTTTTTATCTATTTTTATCTAATTAATTAAATCTTTTTATTATTTATATGTCTGCTGCTCTTTTATCTGCTGCTGCGCTGCACTGCAGCAGCAGCAGGGGTAGCAACAGTGGGGTCTGATTAGGGTTTAGGGTTTAGGGCTTAGATCTCTAACCCTAAACCCTAAACCCTAAACCCTAAACCCTCCTATACTAAACCCTAATAGACACTATAACTAGACAGCAACTTTTCTACCTAGCTAACTAACTAGATGCTGCTGCTGCTGCTGCTGCTGCTGCTGCTCTAATTTATTTATCTGCTGCTCAGACACCTAAAAGGATCTACATCTATATGCCTAATGCATGCACATACACCCTAACTTGCTGCTGCTGCTGCTGCAACTCCTGCTGGTGCTGCAGCAGGTGCTGCAGCAACAAGACGTCGTGCTGCTCGGTTCCTGCTGCTGCTCCTGCTGCTGCTGCTGCTGCTGCTGCTGCAGTTGCACAAGAGCAACTAAATAAATAAATATAAATAAATAAAATAAATAAGGACACAAATAATTAATTAATAATAATCAATTATTAATTAATTATTAATAAATAAATAAATATTTATTATTTATTTATTTATTTATTTATTATTTATTTATTATTTATTTATTTATTAATAAAAAAAAATTGCTGAATGCTTGTTAGGGGAGAAACTCCCCACAGACAATTCTGCTGCTGCTGCTGTTGCTGTTGCTGCTGCTGTTGCTGTTGTTCCTTGTGTTGCTGCTGCTCTTTACGTTGCTGCTGTTGGTCCTATCTGCTGCAGCCCTGCTGCTGTTGCTGCAGCCCTGCTGCTGTTGCTGCAGCCCTGCTGCTGTTGCTGCTGGGGATACTGCTCTTTCTACTCTTGCTGCAGCTGTTGCTGCTCCTGCAGCAGCAGCTGCTGCGGTTGCTGCCGTACGTTTTTTGCTGCTGCTGCTCTGTTGCTGTCTTGTTGTTGCTGCTCTTGGTGTCTTGTTGCTGCTGCTCTGTTGCTGGGCATCTATAGACTGACCCCCTAATTAGGGTTTAGGGTTTAGGGTTTAGGGTTTAGGGTTTATAAGGAAAGAGACGCAGCAGCAAACAAACAAGTTCTGCTGCTGCACGAGTTTGCTGCTGCTCCTCTAATTCGCCATAATGTCCAGATCCGCTCATTAGACACCGCAAATATACACCCTGCTGCTGCTGCTGCTGCTGCTGTTGCTGCTGCTGCAGGCGCAGCAGCAGCGTTGCTAGTTTTGCTGCATGCCATGGGGGTGTTCTTGTATCGCTAAGAGTTGTTGTTATAAGAACAGAAGGAAGAGGATGAGGCAGCAATGCTCCTTGCTGCTGCTGCTGCTGCTGCTGCTGCTGCTGCTGTTGCTGCTGCTGCTGCAGCTGCAGCAGCTGCAGCAGCTGCTCGTAGCAGGAATAGGTTGTAATGTTGCAGCAAGCAGCAGCAGACTCTTCCTCTGCTAGAGCTGCCCATACACCCCACGGGTCTGCTTCGTTCTGTGGACATTCTGCTGCTGCTGCTGGTACTCCCCTGCTGCTGCTGCTGCTGCTATTGTGGTTGTTGCTGCTGCTGCTGCTGCTGTGCATGCAGCCCCATTCATCTGTTTCTAGTTGTGTTAATGGCATCGTTAAATCCTCCATAGCAGCAAAGACATCAACAAAGGGACGATCTAGCAGCAAGCATCTAATCCAAGGCTGCTCCTGCTGCTGCTGCTGCTGCTGCTGCTGCTGCAGTTGCTGCTGCTCTTGTTGTTGCTGTTGTTGATGTTGCTGCTGCTGTTGCTGCTGCAGCTGCAGGTCGAGCGATGTAATCCAGTTGTAAGACAGACGGTCTGCAGCAGGTTTGCTGCTGCGCAGCAGCAAGGGAGCAGCAGCAACAGCACCTGCAGATGCAGCAGCAACAGCAGTGTTGCTGGGGCTGCTTAATCCAATTGCATGCAATGCAGCAACAGCAGCAGCAACATCTGCTGCTGTTTGCTGCTTCCTCTCTCCTCTTCCTGCTGCTGCTGCCTCTCCCCACACCTCTCCTCCCCCCCTACAGTGTATATACCCTAAGATCCATCCTTGCTGCAGCAGCAGCGCAGCAGCAGCATCAAAGGTAGCAGCAAGAGGCTCCTTATAAGCACCGTATGCATGCAGCAGCAAACGGTAACCTCCTGCTGCTGCTGCACCCAATGACCAAGGAGACTGCAGCAGCAACGGCGAACTACTAGGAAGGGATAACACTGTGCTGCTGCTGCTGCTGTTGCTGCTGTTGCTGCTGCTGCTGCCCTCATCGCTACAAATATCCGTGTAGTGTTTGCTGCTGTTGTTGCTGCTGCTGCTGTACGACGGAGGATCGGAGAACGAAGGGAAAGCTGCTGTTTGTCCCGGCAACAGTTCTTGCTGCTGTTGCTGCTGCTGCAGTTGCTGCAGCAGCAGCTGCTGCTGCTGGCAGTAACCCTTTAATTGTTTAGGGAGTATAAGGGTAATAGGCAGCAGCAGCTGCGTGTCTGCTGCTGGTACTAATAATATATCTACAGCAAACATAGCAGCAAATCCCGCTGCTGCCCACTGCTGCTGCTGCTGCTGTTGCAGTTGCTGCTGCTGCTGCAGAAGCTGATGCAGCTGCTGCTGCAGCTGCTGCTGCTGCTGGTTGTGGGGCCCAAGCAGCTGCCGCCAGAGACAGCTGATGTAGGCATAAGGATTTGTTTTGCTGCTCTGCTGCAGTTGTTGCTGCTCAGTGCAGCATGCAGCAGCAAGACACTGCAGCAGCTCCGGCTGCAGCAGCGCAACCTGCTGCTGCTGCTGCAGCGACACACGGAGAGACAAAAGATCCAGGTGTACGGACACCGCAGGATGCAGTGGGGTCTGCAGCAGCAGACGCACTGCAGCAGCAGAAGCATTTGTATTTGCTGCTGCAGCAAGACGCCCCACACCCCCCAAGGGTAATGGTACTTCAACAGCAGATCCTGCTGCTGCTGCTGCTGCTGCTGCTGTTGCTGTTGCTGCTGTTCCTGCTGCTGCTGCTGTTCGTTCTCCTCCTGCTGCTGCTTCAGCAGCCCTATCCGCTGCTGCAATAGCAGCTTCTGAAATGAGGGGATCGTGCTGCTGCTGCTGCTGCCGCTGCTGCTGCTGCTGCTGCTGCACCTCCGAAGACCCCGTAACTCCTGTTTCCTCGACTGCTGCTGCTGCTGCTGCTGCTGCTGCTGCTTCTATTCGTGCTGCTGTTGCTGCTGCTGTAGGCGGCCTGATTACGAGTAGGACGTTTCTTGCTGCAGCTCGCTGCGCATACACCGCAACAGCATGCGTTGTTATATCTACATCACGTAGACGCAACTCTTGTGTCTTGTGCAGCAGCAGCAACGGCAGCAGCTGCTGCTGCTGTTGTTGCTGCTGCTCCTGTGGAGGAGGCAGAGACGGCAGCAGCTGCTTAGGCTGCTGCTGACGCTGCTGCAACTGCCGCTGCTGCAGCTGCTGCTCGGCGCATGCCTTCGGGTTTACAGACAGCCCCTCGTGCACCACCTGCTGCTGCTGCTGCTGCTGCTGCTGTTCAGCCTCTACTGCTGCTGCTGCTGCTGCTGCAGAGAGAGCACGGGTAAATGTTTGCTGCTGCAGCAAGTAGCAGCTAAACCCTCCCGAGGGATTACATATAAAAAAGTACACAAAGGGAGACCTATCATACACACCATCACATAAACCCTAAACCCTAAACCCTAAACCCTAAACCCTAAGCACTAAACCCTAAACCCTAAACTCTAAAGAAAGTATAAACTGGGTTTGAATATGTAGGGGCTATAAATAGAGGTCTAATTAGGGTTTAGGGTTTACATATGATGGCCAGCATAAGGGTAGATTATTAGATTAGGGTTTAGGGTTTGAATTAGGGTTTAGGGTTTAGGGTTTAGGGTTTGCGTACAAAGATTCAAAGAAGTGCGTGACGCCCTTATAAAGAAGTTGCGGAGTATCGTAAGGGTTGTCCCTTCTGCAGCAGCAACAGCAGCAACAGCAGCAGCAGCAGCAAACAGTGCAAAGGAAGACATAGCAACAGCAGCAGCAGCAAAGACATCCCTAGTAGATTGTTGCTGTTGATGCGCCAACAACCACTGACAAGACAGCAGCAACAGCAGCAGTAACAGCAGCAGCAACAGCAACAGCAGCAGCAAGCAGCAAAAACAGCAGCAGCAACGGCAGCAGCAAGACGAACCCAATTGCCCAGGTGTATGTACAGCTCCTGTTTGTTGCAGTAAGGAAAATTAATTGCGTGTCTTTGCTGCCAGCAACTTCATAATGCAGTGTTGGTTCTGCTGCAGCACCCCTCCTATTCTCCTGCAGCAGCAGCAGCAGCAACAACAACAGCACCACCAGCAGCAATAGCAGCAGCAGCAGCAGCAGCAGTAACAGCAGTAGCAGCAGCAACAGCACGAATCGTAGTATACAGTAAACGTTACAGCAGCAGCTGTCAAACAGCAGCAGCAGCATAACTGCTACCCGCAGCAGCAGCAGAGGATCAGAAGCAGCAACAGCAGCAACAACAGCAGCAGCAATAGCAGCAGCAGCAGCAGCAGATGCCATTACTTACAGGAGGCACCAGTTGCTGCTGTGCATGCAGCACAAAGGGGAATCGCCACTGCAGCTGCATTGTCTTCCCTAAGGAAGTAACAACATCAAGAGTTCGTGCTGCTGCTGCTGCTGTTGCTGTTGCTGCTGCTGTTGCTGCTGCTGGTGGTGTTGTTGTTGCAGTTGCTGCTGCTGCTGACGAAGGTGCAGCAGCAGCAACAGCAGCAGCAGCAGGTTTGAATTGTAGGCGGAGGATTGTGTTGGCGCGAAGTGTTTTGCTGTCAACACCAGCAGCAAACAGTACAAATGGCTTTGCTGCAGCAGAGTAGCGGGTATCTGCTGCTGCTGCTGCTGCAGCAGCTGTTTCTGCTGCTGCTGCTGCTTCTGCTGTTGCTGCTGCTGCTGCTGCAGTTGGTTCTGAAGCAAATTCAAAGGTCGAAACATTTTGTAATTCTTCAGCAGCAGGCAGCCACTCCCAAGGAGAGACTAGCTGTGTCTTGCTGCTGCTGCTGCTGCTGCTGCTGCTGCTGTTGCTGTTGCTGCTGCTGCAGCAAGAGTTACAGTATTTGCTGCTAATACGCAGCAGCGCCAATGGTCTGTCTGTCCCCTCAGGGTCAACAGCAGCAGCAACTATGTGTGGGGTGTCTCTATAGACTCTTATGCTGCGCAGCACAGGGAGAGCTGCCTGTTGCTGCTGTTGCTGCTGCTGCTGCTGCTGCTGCTGTTGCTGTTGCTGTCTGTTGAGCATGAAGGCTCCTAGGTCAAGGATTTGCTCTTCTTCCTCCAGCAGCAAAGCAGCACCTTCGTGCTGCTGCAGCGGCCCTGTTGCACCCTCGCGTTGCTGCTGCAGCAGATCCAGCAGCGACTCTACTTGCTGCTGCTGCTGCTGCTGCTGTTGCTGCTGCCGCTGCTGCAGCGGCCTGCGGCACAGCACGAGGCATTGAGGAACGAGGGGCGAAGGCCTGCAGTAGTAAGCAAATGAGCCTAATACCTCAATAGGGATACTTGCTGCTGCTGCTGCTGTTCTTGCTGCTGCTGCTACTGCTGCTGCTGTCAGCTTCGGGTGTACAGGCACCTGCTGCAACTGCTGCTGGCGCTGCAACGCATGCAGTGCTCGTGTCTCCCAATAATATCTATCTCCTTGCTGCTGTGGCTGCTGCTGCTGCTGCTGCTGCTGCTGCAGGGAGACAGAATCAGGAGTGTCTATGACAATATGCTGCAGGGCTAGTTCTGCTGCTGCTGTTGCAGCAGCAGCAGCAGCAGCAAATGCCTTGAAGTTCCCCACAGCGCTACCTAGTGCAGCAGCAATCTGCTGCTCTTCATCAGCAGCAAAGCCTGCTGCTGCTGCCGCAGCAGCAGCAGCTCTTGCTGCAGTGGCTGCAACTCCGTGTCTTGCTTCAGAGCCTGCTGCTACTGCTCTTGCTGCTGCTGCTGCTGCTTGTGGCAGCAGCTGCTGCAGCAGCCCCTCCTGCTGCAAAAAGCATGCAGGATCTCTTCTAAAGCCTATGAATGGATATGCCCGTGCTGCTGGTGCAGCAGCAGCAGCAGCAGCAGCAGGGGCTGTTGCTGCTGCTGCTGTGTTGCTGTTTTTATGGCTGCATGCGGAGTCAGTAATGTCTTGGCTATAACTACTAAAATGCGCTCTGCTGCTGCTACTGCTGCACGAAGAATAAGAGCTGCTGCTGCTGCTGTTGTTCTTGTTGCTGCTGCTGCTGCAGGGAAGGGTAGGTCCGTGTATGCTCGAGGCAGAGCTGCAAAGGAGGTTTTGCCCCCTTGCTGCTGTTGCTGTTGCTGCTGCTGCTCTCAAGTGGCGGCTGCTGCTCCTGCTGCTGCTGCAGCGCAGGGAAGAGGCAAGAGAGGGAGAGGTGCCTATACACCTGAAAATACTGAAAAATGGCATTGACGTGGTAGCAGCAGCAGCAGCAACAGCAGCAGCTACAATAGCAGCAGCATCTGCTGCCTTTAGCTGCTTGCTGCTGCTGATGCTTTTGCTGCTGCCTGCTGCTGCCTGCTGCTGCTCTGTGTGTGGCGCGGGCTAGATCAAGTCTTGCTGCAGCAGCAGCAACAGCAGCAACAACAGCTGCATCGTCTGCTGCTACACCAGCAAGTTATGCAGCTATGGTGGTATCAGCAGCAGCAGTAACACCAACAGCAGCAGCAGCAGCAGCAGCAGAGCAGCAACAGAAGATGGGGGGCTTAAGCCAGCCCTCCTTTCTGGGGGGTTCCTTGATGGTTGTCTGGCATGCTTCTGCTGCTGCTGCTGCTGCTGCTGCTGCTGCTGCAGTGGTGTTTGTTAGTGTGTAAGTGTTACAAAGCAAAATCCTGCTGCAGCACTGTTACTTCTGTTGATGCGACCGCCATTGCAGCAGCAGCAGCAGCAGAAGTAGCAGCAGCAGCAGCAGCAGCAGCAGCAGCAGCAAGAACAGTCTCGACGAGACACACACACATACACGATGTTTGCTGCTGTTGCTGCTGCTGCTGCAGATGCTAATGTATCTGTACATTTTCTCCTTTTGTTTATTTAATTTCTTAAGATTTACATTATTATTCCTTAACTCTTCCTTCTGTATCAATTGCTGCTGCTGCTGTTGCTGCTTTTTGCTGCTGCTGCTGCTGCTGCCGTGCCTTCGCGCAGCTTTTGTGCTGCAGCAGCAGCTTCTAGCACACAACTAGCAGCAAAGCATCTGTTGAGCAGCAGCAATAATCAGGAAGGATAAGACGAGCAGGATTAACAGCAGCAACAGCAACAATAGCAGCAGTAGCAGCAACTGCAGCAGCAGCAGCCGCAGCAGCAAAGATGGCGGGAGCAGCAGCAGAACCAGCAGCAGACCCCGGCTATATGCCCTGTTCAGTATGCAGCAGCACGAGCGGCAGCAGCTGCATTTGCTGCCATCAAGGGCAGCATGAGGTGTCTCCGTTGCTGCTGCTACCAACAGCAGCAGCAGAAGCAGCAGCGCTGCTGCTGCAGCAGCAAAAACAGTGGCGTCGCGTTGCTGTGCTGCTGCAGCAGGACGCCTTAGGAGAAGCACCTGAATTCCTTCTTGCCTTCAGAAATAAATGGAGGCAGCAGCAGCAGCAGCAGCAGCAGCAGCAGCAGCAGCAGATAACTGCACCAGCAGCAGCAGCAGCAGGAGCAGGAGGTAATGATGACAATAACAAGAAGCGGTTGGACATGGTTACGTCGCCATCCCCGCAGCAGCAACAGCAGCAACAACAGCAGCAGCAACAACAGCAGCAGCAACAGCAGCAGCAGCAGCAGCAGCAGGATCCTCCTTTTATGTATTTTGTATCGGATAGACCTGCAGGTTTTTGCTGCAGCGACCTAAGCGGTGCTGCTACGTTTGCTCCTGATTTGCTGCTTGCTGGACGAGCTTCCTGCTGCTGCTGCCAGCCTGCTGCTGCAGTGCAGCGGCCGCTGCTGTATATATCCCCACGTAAGGTATTTAGTGTTAATCGTTGTGCTGCAGCAATTGCAAGAAAATATTTTGCTGCTGCTGCTGCTACAGCAGCAGCAGCAGCTAGTGAATCCCCTGCTGCAGCAGCAAG